ATTTCATTTTTTTCTTTCTCATCTATAAGGATAATCGACAAGAAGACAATGACACGTTCCAGTTCTGTAAAATCTTTACCTCCTGAGGAAATGTGCGACATTATATTCTGCATGTTGCCATCTGGCGAAATGAAAGGTTTGTCTAGTTTGCTGAGTCTTTTTAGTTTGCATTTCGACATATTTATCATCGGAGCAGACTGCAAAAACCTATCACCATCACGTTGGTGGAGAGCCCAGGTAAAATGATAAGTTTACTGATTAGTAAAAATAAAAATATTGTTCTAGTGAGGGCTTAAACTGCTGATAAAAAATAAAATTGCAAACCAAGCTTTCGCCGATCAATTTTATTTTTTTACCTTTTTTTTTTCTGTTTTACCAGCTTTTTCTGGGCACAGGCCTGCCCAGAAGGAATGTGCACGAACAGGACTCAGGTCCCAAGCGAGGTGCCATCCCTACCCAATCCCACAACCCGTAAAGGTTGGCCACACCACCGGGTCTACGACCCCTACTCTTTTCGAATAGTGATGTGGGTTCTTTTACGTCCCTCAAGAATAAATCAGTGAAGGTGCTGCGAGACGGGACCTACGGTTCTTCGTCCTTATCCGAGAAGACTAGAAAGTCTAACCATTTGCAGATCTCATTACAAAGGCAGCACTTTCTTTTCAGTTATTTTAAAACCCTGAGTGTTGGTCCTGCTGGGGTTTGAACCCGCGACCTCCCGCTCGGCAGACCGGCGCTCTCCCTACTGAGATTACCAGGCAGTGGATATGTTTTAATCAGCAGTTTAAGGCCTCACTAGAACAATATTTCATGCTGCTGAAGGACAACATGCATAGGTCACTGAATAGTGCGATAAGTTGTGAATTTTTGAACTCCAATACGGTGTTAACTTTCAAGAATGTAATAGAGTGTTTACATTGTTTTTCTGTTTTTTCGCAGTGAACATCTCACTAACTTTCAAGAATGTACTAGAGTGTTTATATTGTTTTTCTGTTTTTTCGCAGTGGACATCTCACTACAAAATGCAACCATATTTGTCAACTTCCCCTTTTTATTCCTTCTGTTGGAGTTCTTTACCTCTCCAACACCTGCCATCCAAAAGCAACATGATCTAGTTACAACGGCCAGCCAAACCTCTTTGGATACTTTTGTCCCTCCTAACGCCATAAGCACTGGAACGGAAGTTAGAGATGTCCCAACGCGAGAGCAAGAACGAGGAGGTATAAGGCAACCAGAGACTGTAAGCCAAGTGGATGCTGCCGTTACTTCCAGTCCAGCAAGTCTAAAGATTGTTGCTCACGGTGTTGTGAAGGATCCTGACATTGTTTTACTCTCTGATGCCACCAACAAAGACAGCGAGGCCCTTATTGTTCAGGTGAGCTAACGTGAAGTTGCACAAGAAATAAAATGCTCTGAAGTTTCAAAAATTCTGAGTAATGTCGCTCCTTGGGCTTAAGCGATTGCGTTGAACAATTGACTATTGTAGTGCTATTCTTGAACCCAAGATAAGAGAGGCCTGTACATCAATTTGAGTTTTTCACCTAAATTTCCAAATACTTTCTTTGTTTTCATATTAGAACTATTCATCTGATGTATTCGTTTGACTCTGCAGGGCACTGAAGGCAGAGAGTTTCTGGCGACACATGTCAGAACCCGAAATTAAAAAGCTTCGTCTTAGTAACACTCAGCTACACTTGTACCGCACTTACGTCGTAAAAGATTTTGGGAACCAAATGGCCGAACGCCTTTTCTTTGTTTTGTCAGCCTTTTCGTTCCTTGATTTGTATGCAGTTTAAACTTCCCTGCTGGCAGAGGTATCTCACGGTAAGAGAAGAATGAGAGGAAAGCGAGAGACCTTTGCCGGCCTCCGATGCGTTTTCTATCACGCAAACACTTACGTTTCCTTAACAACCAGTAACGTTTTAGTCACGTGCGACACAACTTACAAAGCCGGTTTGCGCGATAACGACTGTGGGCTCAGAAATTTTTGCGTGCAGTCTCAAAAGGCATTCTCAACCAGCATCCCACATTAAACGAAACGGGTTTTGGAAACCAGTAAGTTTCGGCCACAAATTTGGTCGGCGGCTGCATGAAAGAACGCGTCAGAGGCCGGCAGAGGTCTGTCTCTTTCCTATTGTTTTTCTCTCTCCGCGAGAGACCTCTGCTAGTAGGGAACGTTTAAACATATTATGTAGTTCTAACTTCCTTTTTACAGACAGATTCTTTGTCCATAGATGTATTTGGTCTTATCTTTCATCTTTTTCTCCGTTTTGATGTCTTTCTTTGCCAGGCGGAGGTGGAATTTGATTTCAATGTGGATAGCGGAAAACAGGAACTTTCCTCAAAACTGTCAAGACTTCAGATGCAGGCTGCACAATTTCCAGACGTTAAATCCACCTCTTACAAGGTGACAGAAAGTTCTTTGTTTATTTTACAGTAGTCTGATCACAATGCCAGTGTGATGTACATAAACCTAAGAGGAGGTTTCCATTGTTTTACTGAAAACTTTTCTTCTGTTTTTATTAGCAAACGTTTGTCCTTAAAGTAGTTTACTAAAATAATATGTATATAATGTGCTTTAATACTTAAGTGGAAAAAACAGTGATTATCAATGAAATTGTAAGTATCGTAACCCGGCAATTGTTTTCCAAAGCGAATCAACCGCTCGACAACTTTCACGTTTACCCAATCACCGCTCATCGATGAATTGCTACCCTCATAACCAGGTGTATAATACTTCGTCCTATACTGTACGGAATGTGCCCAACATCACGTGCTCAGTTACTTTTTATTTGAAAGGAGAATTGAGCTTTCGTTGAGCTTGTTGCATGAATCAACTCATACAAAAACTCGTTTTGTTTTTCAGGTTTTGAACCCATGTTCGCTAAAGTTTAAGTACCTGATGCCTGCTAGCATTGATGGTGGACAAGACATAGATATTGAACTAGAAAAGATGTTATTTGAATTCTCGCCAGGGCTTCTCACAACTGTCACTAACGTAGTAACAGCTTTCACAAGTCTGCAGAAGGTGTGTGCGTTTGTGTGTGTGTGTTTTTTTAGTAATTTCTGATATAAGAGTAGTCAGAATCTCGTGGGTTGAAGTAGACGACTATTAAAAGAGACGGACCCTGTGCGGACTGCAAAGGGTTTAAGATGTCGCTATCATAAACAGGGTGATTTCACTGAATAGAACATTTAATAGTTGGGCGGTGAATACCGTAGCTGAGGGGATTCAAGTCTAGGTTTGACCTTACTCATGCTTTTAGGTTGATCAAAGCATTCAGACGATTGGACATGAGGTTATTACTCCTCCAGATGACTTATGGGATTCCAAACCTGCCTCGCCCGAGTACTGGTATAAAAAGGAAGGTAGGTTTAAACCACTCACATTGCCATCTCGTCACTATTCTGACGGGTCAGACATACTTTTCTGACCTCTTTCGTAGGATCTCTGTTCTCTTCGTTTCTTTGGAGTCCAAGAGAATCCCTATAAACGAGGGGTGCACTTTATAACAAGAAGCAAAAGCAAGGCAAAAGCTTGATGTTAACGAGGAAATGTGTTAACGCCGATCGATGCCCAGATTGGACCAGTGCTTAGAAACCTAGTATCATATCGAATATCGTCATGTCGGCAGTTTACATTATAATTGCAAGTAATGGGTCTTTTTGCGTTGTTAGCTGTAATCCGTTTAAACCCCAACATCCACATAGAAATTCGCCACACTGATGTCCGTACAAGAATTACTTGAAGGTCAAAGTATTCTTCCTTTGGTGATCATCTTTCCTCTTGGCCACTCTTGGGGCTTAATGGGTTAACTCACCAGATTTCACATTTTTGTGTTTCGTCGTTACTAACGCCGAGTTTTAGACTTAAACGGTACATTTTCCTTCACAGCAACTGAGGATCACAAACCAAGTTTAGTGAAAAAAAGCGTATAGAGCAAGGTGTACCCGAACAAGCGTCTGACTCTGTATGGGATGAGATGGTCTTTTCATTCGACCTTGCTGGAGCAAGTCTTACTTTGTACAGTGACGAACGCGTCCTGGTGAGTCTCATGTCATTGCAACACTTCAGCTGTTTCTGTGGTATCCATTCTGTAGGGCTATCCCTATTAAGTAATCTTTGGTACGCTATACGTGAATGTGCTCTTTCGTATTCTGAAGTAAGAATGGAAAGAAACAGGTGCGTAGGGTGAGATTTTGAAAATACACGCACGGAAGAAAAGTTAGAGCAGCGTTAAGGCGTTCCAAATTAGGGCGTCTGGGGGTATACTGCCCCAGAAAATACCGTGTTTTTCCTTTACAGTATAAGTAAGAACGAAATTGTAGTAGTTAGTTGTTTATTTTACCCATCTCTAGTGTTATCGCTAAGGTGCGGTGTAAGCATAGGGCGAGATGTGTAGCCTTCAAATAGGCAAACTCTGTTACAACGCCACCAATATCATGATCCTTGTGTTTTTACACGTGCAGGATTGCAGGAGAGCTCAATCTCTCGTTTGTCAACCCACTATAAAGTTTCTTGCCGTCCGGTTGTGGAATAATAAAAGGATAAAGGAAATACTAACACACACACCAATATCATGTGAAATGTTTACCAATCATCCCGATTTAATGACAAAAATGCTATCAGGAAAATTTTTTTTCCAGATTTCAGCTGTACGCACGGGCAAGCAACGCTCCTAAGAAAGTTTGCCAGCTTTGACAATCAAATTGGCTGAACGAGAGATTCTTAGACTTGATTTTAGTTCATTGTTATTTGAGAATAAGGCCAAAGATACTATTACTTAACAGTTAATGAATGAGGCTGAGTATCTTATGAAGAATTTTGGAGATCGAGGAGGGTGTTATCCGCCTCGGCCTACGGCCTCGACGGATAACACCCTCCGAGATCTCCATAATTCTTCATATGATACGAAAGCCGAATTCAATAACTGTTTTATTATTCATTCAAAATAATTTCTAGTTTAAAAACATAGCTAAAACATGCTTACCTCCATCGATCCATCGATGTTCAGTTCATCTTCGATAGTGTACGTTTAGGTTTGTCCAGCTCCGCAAATATTCTCCAAATAGCAGATGTCGCCGTTCGAGTTGTCTTCTTGCTGTTCTTGCCATGTATTTAGCTATTTTTTCGCCTAGTTCTTACTCTTGAAACGATTTAAAGACATGCATTACCGTGGATTACACCTGAATAATTCTTAATTGAAATTATCGTGCCACAAAGAACAAAAGAAAAAAATTCCAAACCTTGGTTGGAAGAGCACAATGTTCCACTTATTTTTTTTTTAATGTGTTCATGTTCGTAAAAATTACCCCTTGCTTAAAGTAAATGTGTTTTGTATTTGTTGATGTTGCAGGATCCATTTGACTCTCAGTCGTCATTTTTTGAGCCAGCAACTAAACTGTGTTTGTGTGAAGTTGAGAAAAGTCTTGTTACGGTGGTCTTACCCAGTGACCGCTCTGTTCAAGTTCACTGTGTGCTTAATGGATGTGTGGTTGAAGACGCCCGCCAAGGATCAATTTCTGCCTTTCCAAGGTTAAAGCTTTACTCATTGAATGTAAAATCCAGATATCACTGTGTGTCGAATCACATTAGAGTGATAATGTCCTAATTTTTCGTAATCAGGGAATAAGACTGGCACACTTTATTCGTTTTAATTCAGCGCACCAAAGTAAAGGGATTGCAAGTGCTAATTTTGCATGATGTCCAGATTAGGTTTTTTTTACTATTAAATTTTGTAAAAGTGTTGCTGGTAGATGAAATAAGTCGCAAACAGTGTTGGTGACAGTGTAAATCAAAAGTAGAGACGTAAAGTAAAAATAAATAGACTGTATGAGGATTCCGAGCTATATGTTTCAAACAACTGATCGAGCTTTTTTTATCGACAAGCCAACTTAACGTAACATAAGCACGGGAAAGTAAACAACAGGTGAATAGAGTTAACCTTAAACATGTCATCTAGGCACACAAATTTTTGTAGAAACGTCTTGCCCGACAAGGTGAAGAGCACAACAGGAAATACTTGCTTGGTTCTCTAAGATTTCATTTTTTTCTTTCTCATCTATAAGGATAATCGACAAGAAGACAATGACACGTTCCAGTTCTGTAAAATCTTTACCTCCTGAGGAAATGTGCGACATTATATTCTGCATGTTGCCATCTGGCGAAATGAAAGGTTTGTCTAGTTTGCTGAGTCTTTTTAGTTTGCATTTCGACATATTTATCATCGGAGCAGACTGCAAAAACCTATCACCATCACGTTGGTGGAGAACCCAGGTCTCGATCCTGATGTAGTAAAATGATGAGTTTACTGATTAGTAAAAATAAAAATATTGTTCTAGTGAGGGCTTAAACTGCGGATAAAGGATAAATTTGCAAACCAAACTTTCGCCTATCAATTTTATTTTTTTACCTTTTTTTTTCTGTTTTACCAGCTTTTTCTGGACACAGGCCTGCCCAGAGGGAATGTGCACGAACAGGACTCAGGTCCCATGCGAGGTGCCATCCCTACCCAATCCCATTACCCGTAAAGGTTGGCCACACCACCGGGGTCTACGACCCCTACTCTTTTCGAATAGTGATGTGGGTTCTTTTACGTCCCACAAGAATAAATCAGTGAAGGTGCTGTGAGACGGGACCTACGGTTCTTCGTCCTTATCCGAGAAGACTAGAGAGTCTAACCATTTGCAGATCTCATTACAAAGGCAGCACTTTCTTCTCAGTTATTTTAAAACCCCTCCCGCTCGGCAGACCGGCGCTCTCCCAACTGAGCTAACCAGGCAGTGGATATGTTTTAATCAGCAGTTTAAGGCCTCACTAGAACAATATTTCATGCTGCTGAAGGAAAACATGCATAGGTCACTGAATAGTGCGATAAGTTGTGAATTTTTGAACTCCAATACGGTGTTAACTTTGAAGAATGTAATAGAGTATTTATATTGTTTTTCTGTTTTTTCGCAGTGGACATCTCACTAACTTTCAAGAATGTAATAGAGTGTTTATATTGTTTTTCTGTTTTTTCGCAGTGGACATCTCACTACAAAATGCAACCATATTTGTTAACTTCCCCTTTTTATTCCTTCTGTTGGAGTTCTTCACCTCTCCAACACCTGCTATCCAAAAGCAACATGATCTAGTCACAACGGCCAGCCAAACCTCTCTGGATACTTTTGTCCCTCCTAACGCCATAAGCACTGGAACGGAAGTTAGAGATGTCCCAACGCGAGAGCAAGAACGAGGAGGTATAAGCCGACCGGAGGCTGTTAGCCAAGTGGATGCTGCCGTTACTTCCAGTCAAGCGAGTCTAAAGATTGTTGCTCACGGTGTTGTGAAGGATCCTGACATTGTTTTACTCTCTGATGCCACCAACAAAGACAGCGAGGCCCTTATTGTTCAGGTGAGTTAACGTGAAGTTTCAAAAGAAATAAAATGCTCTGAAGTTTCAAAAATTCTGTGTAATGTCGCTCCTTGGGCTTAAGCGATTGCTTTGAAGCAATTGACTATTGTAGTGCTATTCTTCAAGCCAAGATAAGAGAGGTCTATACATCAATTGGAGTTTTTCACTTGAATTTCCGAATACTTTCTTTGTTTTCATATTAGAACTATTCATCTGATGTATTCGTTTGACTCTGCAGGGTACTGAAGGCAGAGAGTTCTGGCGACACACGTCAGAACCCGAAATTAAAAAGCTTCGTCTTAGTAATACTCAGCTACACTTGTACCGCACTTACGTCGTAAAAGAATTTGGGAACCAAAAGTCCGAACGCCTTTTCTTTGTTTTGTCAGCCTTTTCGTTTCTTGACTTGCATGCAGTTTAAACTTCCCTGCTGGCTGAGGTATCTCACGGTAAGAGAAGAATGAGAGGAAAGCGAGAGACCTTTGCCGGCCTCCGATGCGTTTTCAATCACGCAAGCACTTACGTTTCCTTAACAACCAGTAACGTTTTAGTCACGTGCGACACAACTTACAAAACCGGTTTGCGCGGCAACAACTGTGGGCTCAGAAATTTTTGCGTGCAGTCTCAAAAGGCATTC